CCACACCCTCCCCTACACACGTCCCCCCCACTGAGCCCACACCCTCCCCACACACGCGTCACCCTCACTGAGCCCACCCTCTCCGCCCACACATGCCGTGTCCCACACTGGGCTCTCATAGCTCTGCAGCCCAGGGTGCTCTCTCACACAGCTTTGCTGCCGGGGACGTTGTGCTGATCCAGCCTGAGAACTCGGCGAGCCACGTCCAGCAGTTCTGTCAGGTGCTGGGCCTGGACCCTGACTGGTGCTTCACACTGCAGCCCCGGGAGCCAGGTGAGCCCGGGGGCCCCCAGACGGCCCCTGCTCTTCCCATCCCCACCCCTCTTCCCTCTTCCACATGGCCCGACCCACCACCCACACCCCTTCAGCCCACTGCCCACCCTACTGCTGCAGATGTCTGCTGCCCCGCACGGCTGCCTCAGCCCTGCTCCGTGCACCACCTCGTGTCACGGTACCTGGACATCACCAGCGTCCCTCGCCGCTCCTTCTTTGAGCTCCTGGCTGGCCTCTCCCCGGACGAGCTGGAACAGGAGAAGCTGCTGGAGTTCAGCTCTGCCCAAGGCCAGGAAGGGCTGTATGACTATTGCAGTCGGCCCCGCAGAACCATCCTGGAGGTGGGCACGGGCGGCGGGCGGGCCCTGAGCCCACAGCGCAGTGCGGGCCGGCCTGAGGGACACTCCCCCCTCCCAGGTGCTCTGTGACTTCCCACACACGGCAGGTGCTGTGCCCCCCGACTACCTGCTGGACCTCATCCCCCCGATCCGGCCCCGTGCCTTCTCCATCACCTCCTCTCTGTTGGTGAGGGTCCCGGGGGTGGAGTCGGGCTGGCTTTGGGGAAGCGGGGATGGGGGTGGGGGTGTGGAGAAGGGGGCCGTGACCGTCGGGCAGCAGAGCCCAGCCTGCAGGTGGCAGCGCTTGCAGCTGAGTGGCCGGCCTGCACCCACCGTCGCCTTCCCCAGGCCCTCCCTGGGCGGCTGCAGATCCTGGTGGCCGTGGTGCAGTACTGGACACGCCTCAAGGAGCCTCGCCGGGGCCTCTGCTCCTGCTGGCTGGCTTCCCTGGACCCTGGACAAGGTGGCCCTCTGCTCCTCGGGGAGCGTGGGTGCTGGCGCCCAGGGTCCCTGCTCCCCCATGCAGCCCGGCCTGTTCTGGGCTGGGGGCCTACGGTCCTCAGCCTGGGTCTGCTGCCTCTTCATGCCACCTCCCTTCTGCAGCAGGACCCATCCGGGTGCCTCTGTGGGTGCGGCCTGGGGGCCTGACCTTCCCGAAGATGCCTGACACACCCGTGGTTATGGTGGGGCCCGGCACAGGTGTGGCCCCCTTCCGAGCAGCCATCCAGGAGCGGGTAGCCCAGGGCCAGACTGGTGAGCGTACAGGGCCCCAGGGAGGGGGAGCAGCACAGCCTGCTTCTTGGGACTTCCATGGGGGGACCCCTGAGCTCTCACAGGAAGCCCTGGCACCTGTGTCCATGCCCCATCTCAAGTCTGCTTTGCGCTTTTCCCCAGGAAACCTCCTGTTTTTCGGCTGCCGCCACCGAGACCAAGACTTCTACTGGGAAGCCGAGTGGCGGGAGCTGGAGAGGAGGGGCTGCCTGACCCTGGTCACAGCTTTCTCTAGGGAGCAGGTGTGTGCCCGTGGAGGCGGGGTGGGGGGGCCAGCAGGGTGCAGGCTCAGCCCTCCCGGGCCAGGAGCATGGGATGGGGTGTAGGCTCAGCCCCCTGGGGCCAGGAGGACGAGATGGGGTGTAGGCTCAGCCCCCTGGGGCCGGGAGGGTGGAATGGGGCACAGGCTCAGCCCCCTGGGGCCAGGAGGGCGGAATGGGGTGCAGGCTCAGCCCCCTGGGGCTAGGAGGGTGGAATGGGGCTCAGGCTCAGCCCCCTGGGGCCAGGAGGGCGAGATGGGG